ATAAAAAGGCCTTGGGGCTGGGGAGATGGCTCAGTAGAATAAACACTTGCCTGGCAAGCACAAGAGCCTGAGTTCAATCCCCGGTTCTGCAAAAAAAAAAAAGCTTTCACGCTAGAGACCAAAAACTGAGCCTCTACAGCATCTTTTTAGAAAGAACCTGTTAATTTGGGATTTGGCTACTTGTAACTGTGCTGTCCTTCTGGGAAGGACACTGTCCATGTTGTCCTTCAGCATCCACTGGGGATAGTTTTCTTTCCAGTCTGATCAGGTTGACCATGCTGATGGTAACTTCATACTTCATCTCATTTCTCTCCCATGATGCTTGGCTGCCACAGCCACTGGACCCAGGCTCTCCGCAATCGCCTGAGCACTTGGAATCAGTAAGATTCGCTCCCTCTGGCTCGGGGCTTGGCCTTGCTTCCTTTCACTGCTTAGCATGGCTTTCATGGACAGGGACAAGCTGTGACCCAGGGAAGGCAGCCTCTGGCTATGTGACTGCCAGCCCTAAACACAACATCTGGGAGTGAGGAACTCGTGGCTGCTAGCTCTTGCCCACGTCTCCTTCCCTTCCATGGGCAGCACTGCCACTCATGGCACTTTGTTTTCTCACTTTTCTGCCTGGCTTTTCCTTGCCACTCAGAGAGCACCATGCTTCAGTGTCCCTGGGGGATGGTGAGACCTGTGGGAGTGGTGGAGGATGGTCCTGCCACTGTGTGTGGTATGCCACCCACCTTTCCCGGAAGCAGAACTTGGGAAATTGTGCTCACCTGCATCTTCCCCCTCAGGCCTGCTTTTTCCTTCTGGACTGTTGGTTAGCCCAAGTGCCCCAATACAACTTGGTGGGGTCTGTTGTCCCCCTCTGAATAACTCAGGCTTCTTTTTCTCTCCATCTTCCATAAGCAGCAGCAGAAGCGACCTAATGCTGAGCTCCGCCGGAATGTGACCATCAAAACTGAACTTCCTCTGGGTGCACGTAAGTGTGGGAAGCCTTCTTCAGGAGGCACAACTTAGGGAATCGGCCTCAGCAATTCTATTCCCAACTCAAGGGGAGGGATCTGAGCCAGAAGGACAGCAGGTAGGGGTGGACCCTGGCCCCTTGCCCCTAATCTTTCCTATTTCCTCTTAGGGCGGAAGATGAAGCCACTGCTACCACGGGTCAACTCATACCTGGTGCCCATCCAGTTCCCAGTGAACCAGTCCCTAGTATTGCAGCCCACAGTGAAGGTGCCGCTGCCCCTAGCGGCTTCACTCATGAGCTCAGAGCTAGCTCGCCACAGCAAGCGAGTCCGCATTGCCCCGAAGGTGAGTGTTCTCCAAGAGAGGCTGTAGTCATTAAAAGTGCTGTACTAGGGCTGGCCAGATAGCTTAGTGGACTAAAGCGCCTTCTTAGGCAAAGGGGAGCGGCTGCCCAGGGTTCAATCCCCCCAGAGTATGCTGAGATGGCGATTGAGACTGGGCATGTTGATGCGCACCTGTAATCCCAGCACTTGTGAGGCTGCAAACAGGAGGATCACTACGAGTCCAATCTATGTCGTAAGACCCTGTAGACCCTTTACTAAATACAAAAAAAAAAAGTTGTACTGACAGCTTGTGCAGCACATGGCCAACTGTTTCTTATGAAGCTTATAAACTTAGTTGGGTGGACAAGACAAAAACATAGGATATTTAATAACATTTTAAGAGCTAAAAGCATTTGGGTTACAATGTAAGTGGTGTCAGAAGGCCCATAAATACCCAATGAGTTTGTAAGAATGCAGACCAGGGTGATTATATGATAGTTTGGCCAGAAGGGTCCAGGAAGAGTTCACAAGGGGACAGTTCTGGAATGAAGTGGAGTTGGGCAGTCCGCAGGGATGGAGAAAGGATGCCACGGGGCAGTGCCACCGAGGCAGCAATGCCAGTGTGCACCTGCCAGGAGCACAGCGAGTGTCCCCCTCGCTCAGGGTATCTCAGCCTCAGTCCTGTTGACGTTTAGACTGGAGAAGTCCTCGTGGGGCTGGGGGTGTAGTCTTGCAGTTCTTAGTTTTCCACACTAGACGCCAGCAGCATCCTCAAGTGTGATAAGTATTTTTAGGGCTGGGATGTAGCTTAGTGGTAGAGTACTTGCTTAACATATATGAAGCCCTAGGTTCAATCCCCAGCACTGTACAGGAAATAAAAAAATATTTGGGCCACGCATGGTAGCACTATAATCCTAGCACTTGGGAGGCTGAGGCAGGGGAATCATTGCTTGTTCTTCCAGCTTGGGCTACAAAGTGAGCTCAAGGCCAGCCTGAACTGCATAGCAAGATCCTGTCTTAAAAAGACCACCCCCCACCAAAAAAAAAAAAAAGAAAGATTTGAGCCCAGGAGACTAGGCAACATAGCAGTGCCCTGTCACTTCAAAGGAAACAAGACAAGAGTATGCTTTCTTCTGTATTTTATCCATGCTTTTAACATAATGTGTGTATATAGTGATAGCCATTTTACTTTTTTTTTTTTTTTTTTTTTTTTTGTGGAACCGGGAATTGAACTCAGGCACTTGCACTTGGCAGGCAAGCGTTTATTCTACTGAGCCATCTCCCCAGCAGACAGTGTAGCCGTTTTATATGTATACATACAACACAGAATATTGAAAATGTGATCACAATACACTTTTTTTTCCCCCCTCTGTATTTTAGGGAAGGGCCTACAGGGTGTTCAGGGTCTCACTTCTAGATTGGACTTGTAGTGATTCTCCTGTTTACAGCCTCCCAAGTGCTGGGATTACAGGCATGTGCCACCAGGCCCAGTCTCAATTGCCATCTCAGCATGCTCCAGGGGCGAGGCTGGCACAGCAGGCCCTGGGATGGAACCCTCCACCCTGTGCCTGCTTGCAGGTGCTTTAATCTGCTGAGCTATGTGGCTGGCCCTAACCATACACGTTTCTCCATCTTTTTTTTTTTTTCTTTTTAACTTGAGATATGTACCTTAGCCTCCTAAATAGCTAAAATTACAAGTGTGTGCTACCAGGCCTGCCTTTCTTCTGAAGCTTGTATGTATGTATATATGTATGTATGTATTTATTTTTTGAGACAGGGTTATACTGGATAACCCAGGCTGGGCTGGCCTTGAACTTCCTATGCCTCCTACTTATTACCCTATTTCAGCTTCCTGAGTGCTGGGACTATAAGGCATGTGCTGTAGCCAGCTCCACCTGTTTTGTTTTTTTGTTTTTTTTGTTTTTGTTTTGTAGTGCTGTAAGACATGGAAGTTCTTCTGAGTCACTTGATTTAGTTCTAATTCATAATATTTCATAGTGTGGCTGTATAAATTTCTCCATGTCCCATGTGTATAGGCCTGTTTAGCTTTAGGGTTTTGTCCTGTATAAAGACTTTCTTACTGTTGCCTTTGTGTCTATGGTATAAAAGAGATAATTTTTTTTTTTTTTAAA